CATAGTCGAGACAACGCTCACTATTTTGTGTCCAGTCGGTCGGGAAGCATCGAGCAATTATGTGAACATTGAGAAAACCGAGGTAGTAGAAACATACTGAATTTGTATCTGATCTGTGTTTAACAAAGTCGAAGAAAGAATTCGAAACACGATAGAACGCAATTTGGTCTGGAGAGTCGAAGTCACGAATCGGGTATAAAATTTTACTTTTTCTAATGTAGTATGTGGTTTTGAAAGTCCGAAAGTGATGTACATAGACGTGTCACAATAATTAGCCAACGGAGTCGCAAAAAAATCTGAAAAAAAACCAAACTATTCGAAATTTTTGGAAGACTGAATTTTGTATTATTTTTAGCTATGAACAAATGATTCTTCTGATTACTTCTTTGCCTAAAATTACGTTCTGTTGCTTAAAAGGTACATTGAGTTTTGCTAAAACGTTTGTGTGATTTGGTTTGATGCGGCATATTTGCTCCTAAAACATGTTATAGTTGGCCAAACACCTGCGTCGTTTTCCTTTTTATGTTTAATGAAAGACAAAATGACCTGTTATAGAGTCTGTTAGTACCATTTCGATAGAATATGTCGTACAGTTTTCTTCAACATTCCTTTTTCTCGCGTATAAAAATCGGCGTTTTCTAAATGAATTTGTCTGTTTTTGCATTGATTGTAGCATTCAATGTGATTTCACTCTGGGCAAAATACGCAATCAGTGGTGATGACACGAAAACCTCAGAACGAAAGTTACACGAGAATAAAGAGCTTACCTCTCAATCACATGACTCTATCAGCTCTAATCAAGGTATGAAAAAAATTAGTTGAAAAAAAATGACTTATTTAAGAGCTGTAAAAGTTGAGAAAAAACGATTGTCTACAATTCTAATTAGTCGAGAAATGCTTGTGATACAATTCCATAGACGAAACAAAAGTGTAGAAAAAGCAGGACTAGCCTTTTTTCATTAATGGAATTGTATTTTTATCGTTTTTCCATATTTAAAATTGTGTGTCTGGCACTGTTTCTCATACAAAATTGTATTGCTAGAACTTTTTAGACAAATCGAGTTGCATGACACGATTTTTCTTATAGGTGGAAACAAAATTTTGTGTTTCTTTCTTCATTTATTCCTGTTTTGTCCTGAAACACAAAACCCAAAAGTTTTTCTCTGATGAGATAGCGAATAGCTTAAACGGCAGCAAACGCCAGATTAAATTTCGTTATAAGATACGCCAAATATGTTATATTACTGACTCTCACAAAGTGTTACAGCTAAAAAAAAATGGAATTTTTTTATATAGATATAGCTATGAGGCCTCTACTTCAATGATTTCAATTGACTGTTTTTCGGTAATCGTATGGTTCATGTTATCGGTAATCGTATGTTAGTTTCCAAAAAGCTAATTCTGACAAAGTATTCATTGTGAGTTTACATTCTTTCGTTTAAAAAAAACAGGGCCTGGAAAACGTTATGAGCAAAAAATTAAAGTTTTCGAGTTAATTTTTTTTGTCAATGTTAATGCTTGTTCAAAAACATGGTTTCACCCTTCATTCAATTTAACAAACAAAAGATTTTTTCTCCAAGATAGAACGGCCATAAATTTATTCAAAATTACTTTAAGACCGCTTGAAGTATTTCGCATTTTGATTGCACGGAAAATTGTTTGTCATTAGTTTCTTAAACGGAGATCACAAGCATTTTTTCACATGCGCCATTAATGGAATTGTGAGATGAGCTTTTTTTGTATGAAGGTCAACCCGGGTGAGTTTGAAAATACCTTTCTTAAAAATATACCTTCGTCGATCAGGGAAGGCTATCTTGCAAGATCTTGCAAGTTTCTTAAATACCAGGGTTGTCTTGCAAGATCTTGTAAAATGGATTTTATCTTCAAATATTAATTCTAATTTTTCAGCTTCTGTAGTGTAAAATGTTTCAGGTTGTAGTTATAATTTTTGTTATTTATGTCAAAATTTGGATCATAAGAGTCAATTAACTTGAGTTTTTTTTTATGCTGTGATCCTGTTATGCATTTATTTCATCTATTTTGCTCTTGTATTTATGTTAAAACAATTGAAAATGCGGAGGAACTTTACATTCGGGGGTTTTTTAGTTTTTTTATTCTTTTTTTCTGACCTTTAAAAATGAAGAAGAACTTTGTATTCGGGTTTGTTTTAGTTTTTTTCTTTTTATTTTTCACGCAAAATCAGGTGACGCAATTAGTCATCGGAGAGAGTTAAGTGAAATATCAAACTAAAGCACTTTCATTTGTGATTTGAACAACTTTTTGAAATTTCCGGAAATCTGTTCTAGTTTTGAGAAAAACCGGTTTTTATTTTTTTGTTTTTAGTCTAATTTCGAGCTAATAAAGCGAGCGATTAGGCAGACAATGGTATAATATGGGGTACTTCAGCACTAAACATTTAGTTTTGAGCAGTTGAAACTAGTTTTTGGAATTTGCAGCTACATAAGGAGAAACAAAATCTATGAAAAATTTCAGCTTTTTTGTTTTTCTTTGTTTTTGTTTTTCTGGTCAATTTTCTGAAGACAAAATGTTAATGTCTAGTTCGCCTATATTTCTTTGATTGTCAAATATGCCTAGATTATATTTTACATCGGATTTTTTTTATCACCATACCCATGAAAACTTCACTAATATGGAAAAAAGCTTTTCTTTGTGGTTTTTCAAAAGTTGTGTTCGGAACAATCTTTGCTACCTGCACAGTAACCGGCTATCCTGTTAATTTTTGTTTTCCGCTTAGAGTAAGGTACCACAATCAATCATTTGACTAGTGTGAGTAATATATATCATATTGAAGCCCTTTCACTTGCGATTCGATCTACTTTTTTGGTTTCAAACTTGTGATTTTTTGTCTCATTCGAGCGAATATAACGAGCGAGCAGTCCTATTTTTTTGGCCTGAAAGCTTGCAATAGCCTAATTTAAAACAGCAAAAACTTTAACCGAGGTAACTTTTTTTTGTGTTTTGGCGCCTTCAGGAATTAAACTTTTTAAAAGTCTAAAAAACTGCAAATCAGCTTTGAAAATATGCAATTTTTTTTTCATTTTCTAGTACATTTTCTACACTTTTTTTCAAGTTGCTTGTTCTACTAAGACTGTCGAATTAACATAGTCCCCAGTTTTTTGTTTAGATACTTTTATCAAATCACGCCGAAAAAAAAATTACAATATTTTGGAAATTTTTGTTTTTGTTTTTCAAGACTGTCGGAATATTCTGAGATACATGCGCAGTAAGCATCTATCCATGATATTTTTAAGCTTTTATTGATTTTCTAAACATTGACTAAACGTCCCACGAAAAATCGTATCTTTGAGGATCTTGCTTTAAAAAGGTTATCATTAAAGATCTTGCAAGATCTTTTGAACAGATGCGTCTAGAATATATCAAACAGAAACGACAAGATTCCGCTCTAACTTTAGTTTCAAGTACCTTTAAATTCAGACTGATTGCTTCAAATAACGTTTTGAGGTTTTTTTTTTCAAATTATTCTCTAGGAGACAAAATTCTAACTTGGGGAATGACGCCTAAAAGGGAGAAAAATGATGACGATGACGATGATGACGATGATGACAATGATGACAATGATGACGATGATGACGGTGATGACAATGATGACGATGATCACGGTGATGACGATGGTGACGATGATGACGATGATGACGATGGTGATGATGATGACGAGGACTATTCTGATTACGACTATTATGCTTTTGATTACGATTATGATGAATATATGCCAGAAGACCTCGAAAAAATTAGTAAACGTGAGAAAACAAGCTCTATAACTTCGTTTTTTTTCGCATTTTTTTCAAAACCTTAAGCAACCGTTGTAATATATCAAACAGGATATCATGTTAATGCATTCTCAGCCATTTTTGAAGTCTATAAAAAGTTCTGATGTGTGTACCAATCACTTCATTAAAGTGGATAGTCAGTCAGAATTACAAGTATGAAGTAATGAATGTAGTGAATACTCTTATATAGGTCTGGCTTATTTTGTTTTCGTTTTTTTTTTTCAGGAAAAATCTTAAAATTTGTTCACGCTCACTTTTGATTTTTCGCGGTTTGACTTGTCATTTCTTTTTAAGCTTAGTGTATTTCTTGTTGAAAAAAATTCCATTAACAATTGTGAAGGTCACGAAAAACGTGATACTTAATTTTTGAAAATGGAAAATAATTGTCAGATTTCCCAGCAAGTTGAAAATTTAACCTACTGATCCAGTTTTCTCAAATTGGTTCAATTCAAAAAAAGCTTTCATTATAAATTGTTCTATAACTTCAAAGAGCTTTTAGGCCATCTAATTTTCCATTCGAAATTGATAAGTTGAAGATATTTTGAAAAAAAAACAAGCCGTTTTTTTTCAGTGACATTTTACTTCGTTTGGTTCTTATTGGTTGAGTTTGGTACCAGTCATTCGTCTGACTGAATCAGCAGAACACGGATCCACAAAACGATCATTGACCCCTCCCAACTTTCAAGAAAGGGAGAAGGCAAATGTTAAGTAGGGTTAGTTAGTCGTATTTTCGACCAATCGAAATTTCAAAAAGAATGCTCTTGTGCTAATTTAAAACGCGTGGCACTTCTTTAGTTGATACCAAAAGGAGAGGGCGATTGTTCTGTTTATCTTAGAACACTCTACTATTGGATTGAAAACAGTTGATTACCTTTACAATATTGCATATTAATTTTTTTATTGCGATTGGGCGGCGTGAATTTTACCTACAGCGAACGTGTTGTCACATTGGAACCTGATCTAAACTATATTTTATGATTGGATAAATTAAATGTTTTACCAATGTAAAGTATTTAATATTAACCAATCATGATCCATCTAACTAACAACCCACTTATTTGTAAGTGCTGAAGTTACTTGTAATTTCAGCACCAGAGAGATTTGAATTTAACTTAGAAATTAGTTGGACTCTCCCGAGCACTTCAGCAGCCGCAATAAACCAGTATACCCTAGATCTATTGAGCCTAGCAGAGACTAGTTAAACAACCTGAGACTAGATAGTATAAGAGTAAGATTAGGATCGGTATTAGACTAAGAAGTTGCACGAATCTATCCGGCCGAAAATAAGATAGCGTGACGAGCAGACGGTGTACCCTATCCGAAATTACTCTATGAGTTATACACCCCAGACATAACTCATCTGGTGCGACCATAAGTCTCGAACAAGACCTTACTAGATTAGAATTAACCAAAAATAGATTAGAAATTAGACAAAAACATTTACAAAATGTTATACGACAATAATTTAATTGAAATGTCTCTCCGACTCAATAGATCAGAGCCAATATTCCGAACCATAATAGAACTACCCGGAATTGGAAGAAGACATCGAACCAAAGACGACATACGACAAAGTAGAAACTTGCCGTATAGTTATATGATAGTTCGGCAAAAGCCAGAACAAACTTTTATATTTCGAATACTACTTGCAATGAATTTAGATTTCCATTTGCAAACATAAAACCTTGAAGTTAATCTTCAAAATCATTTCAGGCGCTAAACAAAATTAATATTATACAATAACGATTGATAAAAAGATCTAAGATCGTTTTCCTAAAACTCTGCAGTATTATACAAAACATGTTTGAAAAAGATTTATTGAAAAAAAAAAATAAAAATTAGTAGCATGACAATAAATGGTTAGTAATTATAAATCATCCTGTTGTTCCAGCTTCATCACCTAAAACATAACAGCAATCATAAACCCACTAATATCATCAAAACACTAAATCTTTCCTTTACACACATCTAAAATTTTATTAAAACTTAAAGTCACTTAATTTTAAAACCAGATCATCAAGGCTTATCCTTGGATCTTAAATCATTTTCTACTTAATAAAATTTCAAATTTGATCATCAAGGCTTATCCTTGGATCAAACAGAACAACTTTGTTCTCCCCCACCCATTTAATTAGTGTCTAACGACCTCAAACGTCGATTCACTACCCAACCCTTTCTAAAGACCCAAAACTAATAGAAATTTTTACACAAAACTAATCATTCAAATTAGGATAAACAGTGAAGAACTTCGGTTATTCATCCTTCACTTGACCCCCCCTCTTACCAGACCCAGGATAAATCTTAGACTTAGTAAGTTTAAAATAGTATCTAACGAACTACTCGCGTTCTAATTATACCTGAACCTTGTGGATCGATTTACTATTCTCCAACCCTTGAACACAATCACTACCCCTAAGTAAGATTAAGTAAGTTAACACCTTAACTTATACTAGCCACGAGAAAGTAAAAATCATTCTTCGGAATCGATATACTTTTCTCTCCAACCCTGAACAAATAGACCCAGGTTAAGCTAACCAAAAAATCGTAAGAACTAACAGTTTAGGAAAATAGAAATCATTTAACAACCTTTTGCATCAGTCATCCTAAACCTTATGTCATTTAAAAACCTAGGAAATAAACAAACAATCATTTTACACAATTGTGAAATAGATAACAAAAAATACGACCTTGTAATCACACCTCATACACAAACAGTTGGATACATTCGCACAAAACGACAGACACTAAAGAGGAAAATAATAACTAAACAGAGACAAATAACACGAAAAAGATTTTCAAAAAATCGAAACGCATTTTCAGAATCAGAAACCAACAATTTAGACGAACTTTACAAACTAAAAGAATCAATAGATAAAAATTACCCACTCCACGATCAATTATATTTTTCTGACTCAGAAACAACTTCAAATTCATCACAAAGAGGAAAAAGAAGAATAAAAAAGCAGTACAAACACAAACCAGTACATCTATACAATTGGAATCAACCAATTCGACATATTAATAATTACATATTAACAGTCATCGAACGAAAAAATGAGTTCAACACACACCCCAGGTGACGAAACTCCAGATGATGATGAAATCTTTCCTTTTATAGTAGATGCAGATACTGATAGAGGACAACACATATTTTGACAAAATTTACTCGTAAATTTATTTGAACCCGGAATCAGTCCATGTAAAACAGAGTTCCCCGATGTAAAAATCAAAAGACAAATCATAGATCACTATCTAAAAGATATATGCAACATAACACAACAGTATGGAATCTACTCTATAGAATTCACTTCCCCAAACCATAATAATAGAACATATACTATTCAAACAGACGATCTTGATTTAGAATTTTCAAAAGTTTTTTCAGAATATATAAAAAGCATCCAATACCATAACTCACAAAGAGCAAACTCCATTTTCACCAATGAAGTTTTCGCAATAATATATAGTTATATTTCGATATTAGAAAATGAACTCCCATTAACAAATGTCTCACCGACAGAAACATCTAAACATTTAAGAGTACGACATGAAATCACACTACTCTCTAGTTATTTAAACATCATTAAAGAAAATTTCACGAAAGACGACGTTTCACAACATACAAAACACGATCTACAAAAAATTTTAGCATGGTTCATAATAGATTATTTCACACACAATATTGATTTAATTGCACAAGCAAGAAAAAATTTTAGACCCCAAAATTCGAACGATGATACCGCTATCACAGAACAATCAGATTATGTTTGGGACCCCGAATGGTCTCATCCCGCATTTATAAGCTTTCCACAATCAATCTCAAGTCAAGCAATAGGTACAATATCTTACATAAGAGATTATGTAAGAGTAATACCATTAACAATTGATGCAACACCATTAAACTATAATACATTTTTACCCGATACACAAAATAATAGTTTAAACTCTACAGTCATACACAACGAAAACCTCAATGGAACTAGGAATCTTACTCAACAAGATATCCAGACACCATCACACTTCATAAATGAAGAAATTGTACACACAACAACTACACAACAAAGTATTTCACCAATACGTCCAAATTTAACGACACCAAGAAATACAAATCCTTCACAAACACAGGTAACCTTACAATCAACCGTTAAACCTTCGGTTGCCCCTAAATATTCACATACGGATTACCAAACATACAGACCCATGACAATACCATCGAAAACACGCAAAACATTCAATAGAAACAACTTTGCAGACCATAATTATAATTATACACATCCATCAAAAACAAATTATCAACCACAAAGGAATTTTAATCAATATACAAAACCTCGAAACTGGGATAACCCAACGGCCCAATATAATTCCAAAAATTTTCAACCAAATCCTCCACAGGATCGCAGTGAAAATTACCCATTTTTTCAACAAAATAGAAATAAAAAACAAACATCTTATCAAATGGATTATTTATCCTCAGATGATGATTTCTTACAACCAGATATATTTGCACCAAATACTCAAGAATATCGTAGACAAGGAATACAGAAAACACGTACAAATCATAGAAATTTTTCTCCACAACCAATAGATGCACAACATCAACAACCAATTCACCAACAAAATCTAATTAATACACAATCTTTTCAACCAATTCAACAACAAAATCCAATGACTGCACACTCGTATCAACCATCACAAATGCAAAATGAAATACCACTCCCATATTATCTCCAACAACATGAAATAACAAGAAACCAACTGTCAAATTTTTCTCAAATGCCAAATGCAGCAGAATCATTACAAATGACAATGAATCCATACCTTATGGGTGGATCATCGATAACATCAAATAAACCTTTAATGGTCTTCACAGGAACAGACCCTGAATACTCTGTAGAAGATTATTTAAATGCAGTAACAGCAAATTTGATTTTAAATATAGGACCTGAACCAATTAACACGCCACTACATCA